GATTTCATAAGCATACAGCCAAACTATTTTACCGACTCATTCTAAATCTGACCTTTTTCAAGCTATACTAAAATCACAAAAGCGCCAACGGTGACTCAGATTGGAATGACCTGTTTTGGCTTTCACTATACGTGAATTTATCTCATCATTCACCCCACCACCAGCATTTACATAGCTATTCAGATATATGAACTTCTCAACTACTTCTACCTGCTCACCAGCAAGAGTGGGCGCAGGTACAGGCTACTGCCAGTCTTGCAAAAGTACTTTGTAATTAATAGCTGCAAAGCAGATACTATACCTACGAACACTGAGTGTTAACTGATCAAGTGTGTATTGTATTGCTTGAGTATCGTCTCACAGTTAGACAATATCATTCGCATAATCAAACTCAAAATGTTGGCGTATCTATAATTTATAGATGAACTCATAAGATTGAAGATAACAAGTCTAGGATTTTAGCGCGAAATTTATTCACCTTAATGATTAAATAGCATTTTGACATTATGGCTAATGTCAGTTCATGATGAAAACTTTAACTGTAATTCCTAACCCTATTTTCTAACTTTAAATCCTCAGACATTTATAACTCTCTTTTAACCCTTGTAAGTAGGTGAATTTTCCCAAGTTCACTTTAGTATCGCTCAAAAGTCATCTATAAATTATAGCCTCACTGAAGTCTTTCTCCAGGCAACATACTTACACCATCACTACTGAAATCTGTCAAAGTTGTTTCCATCAGTAACTTCCTCTACTCTTCTATTCATACTGATCTGATTTTGATATCAATGATTGGAATCGATCACGTGTATGTGTGCGTGTTTATCGTTAAGTCACGATTTTCTGTTGTCATTAAATTAATAAGTTAATAAATGGTTCAGCTATACAACGGTGAATTATCTTCTGTACTTTGTCTGTATACATGCTAATACGCTTATATCTTATTCTATCCAAAATATATATTTCAAGAGCGTAAATCTATGTATGAATTGGGTGGTTTATAGTTTGATAAAATAATATTTAAATTGATATTATGAATGGATGAATGTTAGACCGCCATTGAAAACACTGGACGGCCGTTTCGTCCTTGTATGGGACTTCTTATGTGTTCATTAGTGACTGGCTTCAAGATGGATTTCCTGGAGTTCCAGTGAGAAACCGTGGCTAGTGGAGTTCAACCGTGTCTGTTGTAGAGGCAGTTACTCACTGAGGGCAATAGTGGATGGTCGCACAATATCGTGGATTGGTTGAAGTTAGAAATTAACACTGTTGGATGCCGGCTCAGTGGTCTAGAGGTTAAATGCTCACGCGCGAGACCCTGGGTGCGCACCGCTGAGGAGTCCTACACCAGGACGAAACGTCTATCCAGCATTTCTAGGTTTCCAGTAGTGGTCTGACATTCATGATATCAATTTAAACTCAACGATCTCCAAAACCCTAGACTGATAAAAATAATATTTATTTGTTTATTTAAACACATAAGCATTTGTACAAGGATTCAACAAATATACATGCTCCATACTTCATTCGATTTGTGTGATGGCTGAGATACTGCCCGGGTGCCCAAACCGAAGCAGGTGGTTTTTTTAGAGGGTCACTCCCCGAGCCTTTGACCTACATGTTTAACTCACAAGGCATCGGAGCAACATTAGAAGATTCAGTTCCATGGTAGCCAGTGACCAACCATCGGGTTCATATGCCATTTGTTCTGTCAGGATCCTGGAGCCCTTGTGCATCATTGGTTTGGAATGAGAGTTATCCAACTCCCCTAGGTGGACTCTGTGTCCACCAACCCGGTTAAAGTGCCAGACATTCGCTTCTCATCCTCTCAATTTCGTAAACGACACTGCCGTATCGAGAAGGTAGTGAGTAGGACTTTCATGTCAGTGGCTGTATACGCGTGGCCATGTGAAAGCATTTCGACGGGGAGAACGGATTCTCTTCATTCTTGACCATTTCAAGCTTACCACTTACAACCATATTTATAATGACATCAAAAAATTCACTACTTATCCTATTAATTGTGATATATTGTGAGTCTATTAGAAATCGGACAAAGGAGAAATACACTATTGATACCTTAGTTTTCTAACAGACAGACATGGATTTATGAATGAGTTCACATGCATTCCGGTTCAGTTAGTTAGTGAAAGCTCCATTCTCATTTTTTAACCTCTTATATGAAAAGCTTGCGTATCATTAATACTCTTTACAGCACAACATAATCTCAATAACATCCGACAATTCCCACAACCACAATAATAAAGTATTTAGAATTGATAAATTATGTCTAGTAATGTAATCTAGGATACGTGTTTCGTCTTGCTGTGGTACTCGTCAACTGGATGTGTGCACTATATCCTAGAATTGTTGATATTTACGTTGAGTTTCGAACCCAGTACTCTTTTTAATTTAAAAAAAGATTAATCACTAATTCCAATCCTTAATATCAACAATGAGATAACTCACACGTTTACCAATAATAGTAGACATAATAATAATAATGTAATCGATTTCCAATCAATTCATGTTGTCATTCCCAGTGTCTCCAAATAACTGATTTTGTCATATGTGTGTGTGAAGGGGAGAGAGGACAATAAAAGAGGGAGAGAGTAAACCAATGTGTATACTATTTTTATCATAGTGTTGTCAGTTAATTAGGACAATTTTACTGTGTATCTATCTGCGAAATTGATCATTAATTACCTTGATTATTTTTTCACTTACAAACTATGTTATTAATACTGATGTCATGATTGTCACAGGAATGTGTATGTATGCAAATCAATACTTACAGCGAAAATAAGCTTTTGAACATCATGGTTCTCTCAAAGTATGTCTCTCTATATGTATGCTTATATGTACCTAGTATGTATGTCATGTAAAATCCATTTGCATAACTGTTAGTAAATTGCTTGTCTATCTTAGACATTGTTGAGTAAGAAAAACATGAATATTTTTTGTAAAAAACAAAATAATAAAATAGTTGGAAAGAATCCATCTAAGTATTAGGTAGTCTAAAAATTCACAACAATATCCACTGTCTACTTGTTGTTGGGCAGACTCTGCATGAAAGTACTATTGAGCCTCATTGATAGTTGATAGGTTTGTCTGGATATTGAATTATTTTAAGAGATAAGTTTAATTTGTAAGTGATATTCGTGAAACCTCGTTATCTTTGATTCGATCCCAAGCGTAGTCGTAGGTTTGCATTTTTCAAGAGTCTCATTATACTATGACAATTAAAAAGTTGTACGATGGTCCTTAATCTTTATTGGTACACCAGCTATGATCGATCCGCGATCAGTATCTCTCACAACTCAATGGAACAGTTTACATATATCTAACTGTCCATATCAATAATAGTTGTTTCCATCACCAAAATCTATACAATATCACGCTGATAAAACCCAAATTATCATCATTTGTATGGTCTAGAATGTGATAATTAGACAGACAGTATGAAAAATTATTTATCATCTGCACTGATCAACTAGTTTATTTGCCTAGATCAATATGGATATACCTGGAACTGAGCTTAGCAATTGAATATTCCTACAGTTACTTACCTTGTGTTTTAAGCAAGAAAATTAGTTGATAAATATTTGAGTAATTATAAAATAGAGTGTACATTAATCGTTCATCTATTGTAATAACTTTTGATAACCCATCTGTAATGTGAAAAGGATAGTCTCCATGATATTTTTGTTTCACAAGCATGATCATTGAAAATGTGAATTGAACACTACAATTCGAGAATACACATATTCTTATCAGTAAACAAGGTTTTAAAGAGTATAATATTTTAGCATGAAACTGAACCAACGCATTGATAAGGAAAGATAAGAGAGGTTCGTTACGCACAAACTTAATATCACTCGTTACAATTCATATAGTGTAGAAATTGTTGAATATATACATATCTAACTACTTGGTATTTATAAGTAGTATGGGTTAGACAATAAAGGTATAAGTAATATAAATGTAGCTTATGGGTGAAATTTCGATATTGGCAATTCTAAAAATGCCTGATTACCCTCGAATAGTATTATTGTTACTCATTTTTCTGAAGTAATTGTAGAAAATTTTAGAGTTTAGCTTTGAATTATTGGAGATATAGAAGATATCCATTTTAATACTTCAACAGGCATGTATTTACATGCTTCCTGTCAGACCAATGTCTACATGTTTAAATTACTACTTGGAACAATATTGAATAGAAATTTACTCGATGAATTTACAGGCATCTTTACACTAATTTAATAACCTCTAAGGGAAGACTAGTTATTTTTCATACAAAGGTTTACACATACGTTGTGATCGTAGAATAAAACCGTAACTCATACTGTAAACAGAAGTCATATTCTTTAATGTCACATAAAATTAGATCTAGACATCAAGAGGTAAATTTTCCCAGGTCATGATAATGCGGAGAACATTTTGATTAATCCATTTGACTGTATTGGCGATGGGATAATCGGATCTCTCCAGTTGAATACGATAAAATCTCCCTGATATCTCATCACTCACATTCTCTTTTGATCAATAAATACATGTTAACACGAATACTCCCTAGATAAAATATTCATGAGACAGTACAAGTGTCTGTAACATTCAGGAAATACCAGTAATTAAATATTCTATTCAAAACGTGTAAAATTTCAGGAAGTCACCCACAAGACTCGATACTGATAAAGTAAACATTACTACAAGTAAATAACGAGTTATAACATTGAAATAAAAGTACTAATACACAGGATAGTTAATTTATTGTGACAACGTAATACTACTACACGTTCCTCTACAATATCCAAGTCACAAAGCAGTTGGAGATATAATATAGACTACTAAATAATTATAAGTAGCACAATATAGCACAAAGTAGATGGGGGAAACATGTAAATATGTTCGGAAGGAAGATGAAAACAAAAATTAACAATATCACTTAGTCTTAAGATTCATCTAATGTATTGTATATTGAATTTCTTGTATAATTTTAGGTTAGTGGTGGTCAAACTACACCAGCTGTACAACCTCCAGAAGTCGCCAAAGGTGTACAATCAATATTTGATGGTACTAAGTTAGATGTATACAGTGCTGGTGTAACACTTTATTTCATGCTTACTGGTCATGTACCATTTTCATGTCAAAATGTACTACAAATATTTGAAGCAATTGTTAAAGGAGATTATACAATACCAGGATATGTATCAACCAATGCATCAGATTTGATTCGGAAAATGATGCAGAAAGATCCTAAAGCAAGTTTGTTTGTTTATTTATTTTCAAATCTCCATATCAGTGTTTATTTCTTGTTTGAATTATGGTTTGTTGTATACATTTATTTGTTATACACTTCTATTGTCTAGTATTCCTTGACTAAGATACTTCATTCAACTCTTTTCATATCAGAACATCACTTTAGAACTAATAACATGTTTTATATTTGAAATAATCTCAGCGATTGAAATTTAAATAATTCCAATGTTTCGTCCAGACATATAATGACTTCTCTATACTCGGCGCCCAATTTCTGTCAAACTATTTGTTCTAATCTTGACGAATATTTGTATAATAACACGTATGTTTCAATAATTGGAACAACAAAGATTCAGTAGCAAAAATATTAGAGTGTATACAGATATTTAAATAAGAATCTTCTAGTATCTTTCGTATACTACTGATTCCAAGCATTTTAATAACTAAATATTCCCAGTTTTCACTTCGTCAATGATAAAACACAAGTTACCCTTCACTACAAAAGTATTGCCCCAAAAAGAGTTCGACAGTGAATCCTGGTAGATGACCTATGATTTTCCATGAAGGGCAATAAGCTTAAGTAAATACTCCTCACCGCACTTCAAATTTCGCGTAAAATAAATGAGGCGTTACCTTCTAACTGGTTAACTCAATGGTATCATTATACTATACTTTTGCTGAATTAGAATCTATGGTTAAGAGTTAGAGGTAAGATCAATAGTTAGGCTTATGATTACAAGTCCTAGGTTAGGAATAAAATGGAAAAATTCACTTTTAACCGTGTAGATGAATATTTATACAGTTGGTTCTTTATTTCTATATATCAAGAATTATTTAGTTATTTTCATAAATTCACAAATAGTGATCACTATTATCTTTAATCTTCCTGTGTTTGTCGTAGTAACTAAACATTGATGAGTTCTATTCAGCTCTTACATTAGTCTTAATAATAGTAATCGTTCCTCCCTAAAATCCAAAACCCATTATCTTAAATTTGATTGATTTGTCAATAAAGTATACCTTTACTAAGTATTTTTTTGTCATTTTTTAGATTTGTCAATCAGAATTTCGATTATCATTTATATACTCTCGCTTATTCCATTCCATCTACAGTCTCTAGTGCACTCACTATGTCTTGACCAATAACATGATCCAATAGACACGAATAACCTTTAGCCGATGCTAAAGTACGCTTCACTCCGTATTGGCCTATTTATTCCCGGCCTTGAGTTTGAATAGGAAAAGATACTAGCCAAGCTTCTATTACTATATTTCAACCACTCAACATTTATCTCAAACACTCATTGGCTTATATGCACGAATTATCGAACCACAACACACTTCAGATAAGAAATGATACTTTAGACACAATCATGGTATAAATGGCATTCCAAATACGCTTAGATTGTCATTCAAAGGACTCAGAGATTCTGCATTTTGCCAGCATTTTCACATAATAGGTCTAAATCGTGTGTGTATTCTAAGTCAAAAAGTGAATTTCTCGGTAGACGACCAAGTCTTGGAAAGCTTGATGATGAGAGCGTTATCTTTAAAAAGATGTCTTTGATAAAGCTGAATAGAGACGGAAAAAATGAGCAACCCTGATGAACACCACTTCAGGTTGACAATTTTTCATAGGCTCTTTTTCGACCAGTCGTGTTCAGGTTACGAGCTTGTCTCCAACGTCGAAGGAATACAAAAACAAATTAAACTGTGGATCAAACGTTTTTAAATTTTTGAAAAAACCAAAAAAAATTTTCTCGAGCATTGAAATCCACTATCTTTATTTCAGAGCAAATTCAGGCCTAATCACTTATATGTTTAATGTCGTAGAGCAATCATAGTTTAATTTTACAAATTATTAGTATAAGGTTATGTCAATTGTTGGATGTCATTGAATTCACGAACGGATCTAAGCTAGACGACCATTGAGAACCGGGAAGGCCGCTTCGTCCCGGCATAAGACTTCACATCAGTGTCCATCCACGATCCCGCATGTGGGACCCTAACCCAGGACCTTCTGTCTTGCGCGCAAACTTAAACGTCAGACACCGGGTCATTGGTATGAAAGTCGCCACATTGACTGTATTAGTAAAGCAATAGAAGGTATGTAAAAGGTACCATGTTAATGGAAAGCTGGACATAAGATGCAAAATGTCAATTTGTAAACGACATCCAACAGCTCCAACCGTCGATTAAGAGCATACTACCCGTGTTACGATCAGGAATTTGCCATCTACCACCAACACGACTAAGACCAGTATGAGTTGGTGACTCTTTGGTACCCCCACTCCTAACTTTTTTGCAGCCTACATTGAGCACATACACCATTGTTTGACTTAGCTCATTACTAGAAGTTAAGAGGTTAGGCGTTCGCGCACGAGATAGATGCTCCTGAGTCCGAGTCACGCGTGCGGGGTCATGAATGCACACTGCTGAGGAGTCCCGCGCTAAGACGAAACGGCCCTCCAATTCGTCCAGGTTTTCAATCATGGCCTAGCTTAGATCGACTTGATTTCAACTATTAGAATTAATTATTGTTCATATAACCGATTAATAAAATATGAAAGTTCTTGTACGCTCCTGTAAGCCATCATATTACCATACTGTTCCCCAACTATCTAACTTTAATAGTATGAGTTAAATTATAAAATAATGGTTTCATTATTAAACCACTCGATTTGTAATCAGTAGATGATTTGCGTTTAAGTTTTATAGTCATTTTCTGGTTGGTTACACTCCATAGGAGAAATTTTTTCGAAGTACTTGATAATGAATTTGAATTAGTAGTAGTGATTTTGGATACCTGAAAACGTAACCACAATACTCAGAAAACAACAGCTTGAGAATTATCGCACACGAAATTTTCGTAAAAAAAAATAGTTTTGAATGAGTCAGTCTTATACCTAGAAAGGACTTACTATCGGCGATAGATAATTTGCAAGCCAAGATGAAGTGTTTCGTTTTTGAGGTTTGACCATTTCTAACTCCGTCATTCGTTTGTGAGAAGACAGTGTTGTTCTAGATGCTGATTGTCTGAACCAAATATCATACTGCCATCATACCTCAATACAGTCAGTTGCACGACCTCACTATCAGACTTTAATTTACCAATCCTAATTTTATCACTCTCCAGCCAACCTGTCTGATTTAGTATAACCTAAAAGGACAAATGTTTCAGTCAATATGAAACTTGATTGAGCAATCATGACAGCCAGAAAACTCTACCAATACGTTAGAATAGCTTGCTGTGATCAAGCAAGTTCAAACCCTATACACAACTATTTTGGTGGTTAGAGAATTCATTGAATATCACCAATCTTTAAGTACAGATTAAGTGTTTGTGGCTCAAAATAAAGTAAATAGACCTTATATTTGAGAAATCAGTGATATCAATACTGATAAATGAGATCAGAGAAATGTATGGTAATTGGTTGATTAATTGAAAATTGAACATTTCCTTACAAATCAACAATATTATGATTTTTGCCCCCAAATGCCATGGTATGGCCGAGAGTGGGGGGGCCCTCCCTCCCTCTCGAAATGCTCTCACACGGCCACGCGTATATAGCCTCTGCCAGGGAAGTCCTACTCACTGCCTTTTCGTGGCGGGGGTGTTGTTTACGAAATTGAGAGGACGAAAAGCGAATGTCTGGTGCTTTAACCAGGGAGTTGAAAAACTCTCATTCCAAACTAATGGTGCACATGGGCTCCAGTATCCTGCGGGAAAAAATGGCGTATGACCCTATTGTTGATCACCGGCTACCATGGGAATGCATCTCCTCACGATGCTCCACTGCCTTGTGGATCAGACCTTTAGGTCAAAGGCTCGGGGGTGTGGCCCCCTAAGAAAACCACCTGCTTCGGTCTGGGCAACCGTGCAGTATCACAGCCCACACAAACATGGTGTGGCGCATATATATTTGGTGCCCCTTTGTACCAATATTTATGTGTTGAGATAAATAAATAAATAAATTTTTAACAATTTATTTGTTTTTCTGTTAATAGAAACGTTTAACTTTATTGCAAATTCGTCAACAAACTTGGTATATACAAGATCCACCAACACCAATGTCTGTGGAAAAAATTAAAATGAAATTACGCAATGAATTATCACATAATCAACAATTATCAAATAATGAATCGCCAACACATACATTAATTCATTATCATAAACGACAACAACAACAACGTGGTATAATCTGTTGGCTTGATCCATTAATTTATCTACGTCGATGTCATTCTGAATATCCTTTACCACATATTGATGATACTGGAGCTAGAATATTTGATATAGATGAAATATTCAATAATTCACCAAATCAAACATTTACTAGTAGTAATGATAATGATATACAAACATCTTTATCAAATATGATTATCAGTGATAAGGATGAACACTTTTTTAATAATCATGATGGTATTGCACCGATCTCAGTGATTGATCGTTTAAAGGTAGGTGTTGAATAAAAAGTAGGGGAATTTCTTTCATTTTTTTAATAATAATAATAATATTCAATTTACCTAGTACCCATTCCTAACCCTACCCAGGGTTTTGGTTAGGATACTATGCAAAGATGCCAAATCGATTGATGACGTAGTGAATCTCCATCAACTGAGTTGATTGGGACATGTGCAACATAATGCCCAACCACCGCAATATTGCCTCTTGTAGGAGCAGGTTGGGAAAGGATTATGGCCAGCCAAACTAAGACCTAGCAACATATAAAGACACTGACTGTTAGACTGATTTAAGTAGTTATGTATAGACTACTTAATTGGGATCTACGTGACTATCGTAAATAATGACTGGGGACTTTACGCGACATTACTCAATATCGTTCTCAATGGCTCAGGTGTATTCACCCTTTGTTCTTTCTTAAACTCTAACTTTTTCGTTTCGCTAATACTGTTACTACCTTTTCTACCCTGGGATATCCTCTGATAATTTCGTCTCGCTGTGCTAATGTACTATGAGAAATTGAACTGATGCACAAATATGCTACAACCTTCTACGTTTCATTTGACTAACTGATCCAATCAGTCACATGAATAAGAATATGTTACTTACTTCCAATTTAGCACTTATCAACAATGATCATTTTTAGTCACTAACTAAGTTCATTGTCTGTAAGAAATATTTTGTGGTTTTAGTTAAAAGACGATAATCTCCTTACTATTCAGATTGTGAATGCTTGAATAAACTGACAGAGTTGGTATACACATGTTACTAATGGTGTAGAATTAAGCCGAATAACTATAGGTATCTCACTAACCATGATATATTAATCAATTATTATCTGGTGTTCCATTGGTTCGTCTGTCTTAATTGTAGTCTCTGTGTATGTATATTTCTATTTCCGTTCAGTTTCTTAAATGGGTAACAATTGTTTTACTCTCAACTGGGTCAAATTGAACTTGATCCAATTTACTGTTAGGGTTATTTATTACTGGTGAGCCTTTATTAAGAATAAAACGTCTGTTCAGTGATTTTCAGAATAGTTGAATACCGATGGTCACAGTTACTCACTAGAACTTCAGAAATTACCTGTCGACATTACTTACCAGTTAGCAAGTGATTACTATTAGTATTTAGGGATTTATTGAAATTGTTGGATTTCGTAGTTTTGACATTCAATGCTATTTCTCTCCTTCTTCTTAGTTTGAATTTTTACTTAACTAGAGATGATCAGCTATATTGTTTCTGAGTTTCTGAAACTTGGATACAAAATCAAAGTGTAGTCATTAACCTGACATTGCCCAGTCAATATAAAGGACTGGCGCAATCTACTTTTCATGTATCTGGACCCTTGGTTGCCAATTCGCGTGGCCTAGTTGGTGTGGGCATCGCATCAAGTTCAAAGGTATCACAGGTTATCCTGATCCTGGATTCCGGTAGATAGATGGTCGCCTTTGTGGTATATGAACATAAATAGTATACAAATATTGGATAACGTTCACATTGTATATTATCGGCAAAGATCGCTTTATAATCTGTCTTTAGATCCGTTGACAACCATATTAAAGAAATCAAACTTAAATCACTTTTGTGTATGTTTAATAACGAATGACCAAGCATCCATTTGGTCCCAAACGTTTTCTGTTTGATACTATTACTCAAGTACCCGTATAAAGGAATCATAGGCTTGCTCGGAACATTGTCTGATGTGCTTATATTAGACAGAATTGAACACTTTCCACTCAGAATAGTCATAGTAACACAGTACCATCATTTATACATTTTGTTCATCTTACTATACTGCTTTTTTCCCTACCATATTTTGTATTTAGGTATTTCATGATTTGGATGACTATGAAGAGTATAGTAGACCAGAAGATATGTCTAGTTTTTACTATTCACCTGAAGCATGTTTACAATATTCCAATGTTGAAAAACAGCTGGCCAACTTAGGTAATTACACAGTATTCAGATCAAAATTCTTGTTTCTTTTTATACATGCGTTTAAACGACTACTTACTACTTTGTAAGTAGTATGTTTTTAAAACGTAAAATCGCAAGCTTTTATTTTGCCTTTTTTAAATCGGTCATTATCATCGACTGTGTAAAATGGTATAATCTATTCTTTGCTCGCCGAGTTTCCTGCGATGACCTACTGGAATGTCAAGGTCACCTATTTTTTCTATTATGTCTGTTTATGATGGAGAATATTCGTTGTTCAGGGTAAATATTTCGGTGGTGTGTTGTGTTCTCTAGGCTGGATGGTCTAGTCTTAAAGTTTTCATTGTCTTTCTAGACAATATCAACATTATCAGCGCACATTTCAAAGAGTGACAAGATACTAGGATTCTTTCACAACTGTGACTAGCAGCCTGTTTTGTCTATAATTATGTAGTCGTTATTTTTTTCTGTTTGTTTTAACTGTTCCCATCCGTAAACCTATATCCGAGCTTTCAATTATTTACCGTTTTTCTTTTTAGATGATAAGCTTGGTCAATTCCTTTATGTCAATTGATCGATGCTTGATTAGAATGTCAGGATTATAAAAATTTTATGACCTTCTTTGTGTTTCCTCTGTTTAATAATATTTCAACATTTTCTCAGTTGAACTCATCTCCATAGTTGTCTACATATATTTATATATAAGTGAAGATATATCATTTTGTTTAACAATATATTGCCTCTCTCTCAGTTGATACATTTTATTGTGTAAATGTTTGTTATTGTGTCCCTTTACCTGAATACTGTTGATTTTAAAGATTTTTTAAGTGTTATGATATACGGTTTCTGAGATCTGATACTGATACATAATATGCTACGCATTGACTTCCCCCCCTTAGGCTGTCTACTTGAGCGAGAATATAAGAGTGGGAGAGAAAGTCTATTGGTTTACCAAATAATATGCATAGATACTCATTTATATAAATATACGTTTCTACCTCTTAGAAAATCGTTCCATTTTTGACCAATGATATAAAGTTATCTTTCAGGTCATTTTACGATTGTCATCAAGTGACCTTCTTGAGATGGTGGAGAAGATTTGTAGCTCAGGTGAATGATTTTGGTGGAGTTCTATCTATCTGAAGTTTGTGCTGATGATGTCGTTCAGTAGAAAGATGAAAGCTCCATGACCAAACCATCCAGCTCAGAGAACAAAACTCCACCCAAAGTGACCTTCTCGTTTGGCTACTTCTTATGGCTCATTAAATTATTAGTAGGCTACACTTGTTTCTGTCGGATTTAATAATCTGTTTACAATCTTGGAGATGTTCTTGATGTGTAGAGGTGATCTTAACACGTGGCACACCATCTATCAGATAATGGACACTGCACGTCACAACACTTAGGTCTAAGATTGCTTAACCTCTGGACCACTAATCCAGAATCCAATGGTGAACAAGTCTAAAGTCAATCGATTCGCAATATTGTCCAAACGTCTTCCTTGTGAGTAAAACCAAAGGTCATGTGTTTGATCCCAAGTGGTAGTGTCGTGGATGAGCATTGTTGAGGTTAAACTACTGTCCAATGAAAAATCATGAGATAGGTTGACGAATATTCACTCTAATATGATTTCTTCTACTCACGGGCATTAATAATCGCCTTATTCAATGCCAAATTTTTTTATTATAGTAAAGGATTCTAAGCACAAACTATGTAATGTTAGAATAAATTTTCTGTTCAATATCCTATTTAACTTATTATTAGTGACCTTTAGGTCACTTCTGATTACCATCAACCTTTTGCTCCTTCTGGTCGGCTCTCCATATCACTAAGGTCTTGTCTTTGATACCCAGCGATGGAGTCATGGATGTGCACTGCTGCTGAGGCGGAGTTCAATACTAAGACAAAACATCTATCTAGTAGTTCCATTTTTTTTTAAAATAATTTAACATTCGAGACCATTCTTGTGAACTTTTTTCAACATGGATAAACAAATCTAACCCCTGATGATACATCGATGCGGGAAATGTAGTTCGAAATTCAATTGTCGCTTAATTTAGTTTTTTATACTTTAACACTCAACTACTTATTATTTTACTCATTGATCTCATGGAGTGTGTTTTGTTGTGACAGATATGAAATCTAGAAACCTTTGAAATATGCGCTCAGAAGTGGATATTTTCTTATTCTAAATTATTAGCATTACTCTAATAAACACACTTTACTGTTACATGGAAGCAAACTGACATAATTCTAACTGTAATCTATATCGATTAAATCCGAAGATTTTTTTAGCAGTAAAATCTATGACATGCATTTCATCGTCATCTCTGGGTATATCTCTGGATCTCCCCATATGGTTAATATTCACATTATAAGACTTAAATCCAAGATCTTTTACTTCAAACATTTAACACGTTATCCACCACCTAGCTAATAAGTCCAGGTATTCACTGACTTGTTCAATGTGTATATGAATTCTGTTTGTTAAACTTTGTATTTTCTGATTGTTTAAATTGATCAACTAATAAGTCTTAACATGAATGCCGCGAAAGTGCAAAACTTTAAAAACAGAAGGAATTGGTGTCGTTTTTATCTTCCCTTTTTTAACCAACCGAATTTGAACGAAGAAAATACTAATACCATTGATTTTGAATGCTCAAATAATTAATGAATTATCAGTATGAGGTTGTGGAGATTGTTAAATTCTTTATTGAGATCATGAATCAATCGATGTTAGACCACCATTAAAAACCTGGAAGCACTAGACGGTCGTTTCGTCCGACTGAAGGTCCTGGGTTTCAATCCTGCGTACGGGATCGTGGATACGCACTTCTGAGGAGTCCCATGCTAGGATAAAACGGCCACCCAGTGTTTCCAGGTTTTCAATGGTGGTCTGATGTCGCTCGATTTTTAATCTCATTCAAGAGACATTAATGAATTGTCAAAGTTTACACTTTGTCTTTATCTGCTCTCCAATAGGTATTGGTTCACGAATGGAACCTGGTTCGACAATCACAAATTATCCATATGTATATAATAATCTTTCAATGAATTATTTACACTCTACTAGCCCTATTCATTTAACAGAAGAAACTAGTCGTCGATCTGCAAATATTTGTCATCCGATTGACAACGTTCCAGATAATGTTGATAATAATAGTAATATTAATAATAATAACAATAGTGATAATAATAATGGTCAGTCACACTATTACTTTTTACCATCAGATCAACAACAATTAACTACTCATCAATCTAAACGAGAAAAATCTTTAAAAAGTAATATGACACCACAACCATATTGGTGTCTAGATCTTGGTGTTCCAGTGTATGAAGCTATACAACCTATCAATAATATGAATGATGTATCGGAACCTCCAGCTTCTCCAGCGGATTTACCAATTTCTATTCCTACTACTTACAGACTATCTAAATTTGCAATAAATCCCAATGTAACAAATCGAACTGGTAGTCTACCAGGTCCTATAGCATTCATTCCATCCGATTTAAATGTACCTCGACAAATGCAGAATAGTGTCAATATAAATAATTATAATAATAACAATAGTAATGATACATTAAATCAAAAAACTTGGCATTATGGTTTACGACCTATTAATAGTATACCAAGAGATTTTGTTAATTTCACTTGTTCAAAACAGCAACAACAACAACAACCACATCAAAAATCTACCAATATCATTGCTATTGATCCTGATCAATTATCTAATCATTTGAATATAGATTTTGATCAAACTCATATAAATTCAACATTGAATAGACAAGAACAACAATTTATGAAAAGAGATTATCATTCAACTAATACTAATCATTTGAATAGATTCAATCAATGGTTTTTCAATCCATTCAATTCATTTCGTAATCGAATAAAAAGTATACGATTTAAAAAAGATGCTTCAAATAATTGTCAAACTACTACTAATACTACTTATACTACTACTACTACTAATAATAATAATAATAGTTATTCACCAGTTGTTTCAACGACCAATTCTACTTCTTCATCTTCTAATACTATTTATTATAGAAATGTGAATAGTGCTACAGAATTAACTTCAACTATTGAAATCACATCATCATCATCATTACCTAAAATTCAAATAGATGATATTTCTATTCAATCTACTGGAACTTTACCAAGAACACGTAATCGATTAAAACCTTGTTCACGTATATTTTCACGAAAGAAAGTTACAGGAAGAAAATAATAATTATTATTCCCGTTGACATTGTTGTCGTTATCATCGTCTGTCTGTGTATGTATTCATGCATGGAATGTATGTATGTATTTTTTTTTTACATGTATATCAATTTCTTCATATATAGAGTTGGGTAGAAGCGATACAAGATCTCGTTTTTCGCACACACACACACACACAGTATATATATCCTATTTGTTATTAGTGTTGTTGATGTCGTCGGTTTATCGATTTCCTGTTCACATGAGTTTTCTTTGATTCTTCTCCCCTATCTCCAATACCAATCATGATGATGATGATGATGATGACTTGATTACACGTTTTTTTTTATTTTATAGTACATATAGCAACTCAATAATGCTATTTATTTGATCATTTTTTTGTAAAATCTATTTTGTACAATTTATTCACCAACTGGCTCTCTATTATTATGTTTTATTATACGGAATAAAAAATGATGACAATGTTTAATGTCCCAATAGCTAGCTTTATGTCTGTTTGTTTGGTGAGTTTTTTTAATCACTGCGTTTGCTCACTAGTGTGTCCAATAATTTTTGTGTGCTAGAGGTTGTTTCTCTTTATCACCATCTCGTTTATTTCATTTTCATGCTCTTCTTCATTGTATTCCTCTTTTCCTCACTCACTCACTCACTCTCTCTCTCTTAGGTTCTTTTTCCAAAATTTCAGTTACCGTTGTCGGTATAGAATTATGTTTCTGTTTTTCCCCTTTACATCTTCACACAAAACTTGTCTCATTTGTAAATAGTATGTAAATTTTAACTGCACACACACACACACATAAAGATGATAGTCGTGTATTTATGCCGAGCATTTTTTTCTCAAATCAAAACTTCTCAAATTATCTCTAATGCTTTTACAATTTCTCTCGATTTCTGCTTCCGTTTTATCCTTAATCATCAATTGTCTTATAGAACTGAAAACATAAGTTTCTCGGCTTAGTTTAATTCCTTTTCTCAGTTCAGCATGCAACTTTGTTAGCAATTACGATCATTATTCTTTCGTAATGTTCCATAGTGTGTGTGTATGTGTGTGTGTTTACACGCGTAACTTTATGGTCATGTGTATACCCTGCACACCTAGATTGTTCCAGTGATTGCACACAAATAAACTCACATTCACACGCACATCACCTATCCAAAATGCCTATATGTATTTTTTTATTGTTTAATGTCCTGTGTTACTTACGAGTAGTATGATTTGAGTGAAAACAATTCCTGAGTACTTTGTTTTCAGTTTGAAAATTCATGCTTATATGAGTAATGCATTACTAGGCTTATTATATATATAATCAGTGTAATTGCAACATTCTTCTGCAATTATTCGTTTTTTGCGTTGTTAAGTTTTTAAGCTTGGCGATTGAATGATATATCATTCTGAACAACACCATCAAACGCCTAGTTGATATGGAAATGAGTTGTTTAGTTATTCCACATACATTAACGTAGTTTCTCCTAATCACATTCTTTATAAATGGTTGTGCTTTTAGGTACTGCTATCCTCATTTTTCCGTGTATTCCTATTGATTATCGTGTTCGGCTGACCTCTAACCATGTGACTGATTGACCTCTTTCGTCAAAGTTGTTAAAATGAATCGGTCTGCCTATTCATTACCGATAAATGAGAATCCTACGCTTTTACAAATTCCTTAGCATTTTCAACGTTCTCTCGATCTAGAGTTTTGATATATTTCTGTTTGATTGCAAACAACATAGGGGTAGTTTATAACTTCTTAATCTTTTCTTTTCATTACGGGATCAATTGCATTTATTCATGCATGATCAAGTCTTCAGAATCCTAATTATTTATTTATTTATTTGAACATTGGTACAAGGGGGCACCAAATACATATATGCCATACAATAACAATGAAGCCAGTAGTAGTTATCATTGGTTTGTGTGAGCGCTATGATTCTGCCCGGGTACCCAAACCGAAACAGGTGATTTTCATAAGCGGCCATTCCCTGAGCCTTCGACTTACACAAGTCAGTGGAACAACGTTAGGAGATGCAGTCTCATGGTAGCCGGTGACCAACAATAGGTTCATATGCCACTTGTCCCCCCCAGGATACCGTAGCCCATGTGCACCATTGGTTTGGAATGAGATTTTTCCAACTCCCCTAGTTTGGACCCTCCGTGTCCGCCAACCTGGTTAAAGCGTCGGAAATTCGCTTTTCGTCCTCTCAATTTCAGAATCCTAAACTGAATAGGTTTCAGGAAATATATTCATTAGTCAAATGAAATCAGTTCGCGTAAATCATGTATTTGGCGAAGTAATGTTTGTAATTCATATATACAAGAATAGTGTAACTATGAATTACTTGTCACTATGAAAATAAACACTTCTTGCAACAAAAATCTGGTAAAAATATGCATCTCGAATCAAGTTTTCACATATAGTCGGTGTCACAATATTTATATCAGTCAATGTATTCATTCTTCACAATAAATAGTTATATTCAATTGATCTTTCTTTATCGGTTCATATTTGACAACCATACTTAAAAGTATACTTTGCCGTTAACAGTATCCAGTTACCGATGAAGTGACCTTGGTAAAATGAAAACCTATTTTTAGCCTATCGGAATGTAGGAGATATGGATGAATCATTTACTGTCAGAAAGGGGATTTGTGGAGATTGTAGCAATTTTTCTTAATAGTTAAATTCACGAATCGATCTAAGCTAGACTACCATTGAAAACCTGAAAGCACTGGATGGGTGCAGGTCCTGGGTTCGAGTCCCGAGTGAGGAATCATGGATGCTCATTGGTCAGGAGTCCCATACTAGGACGAGACGGCCATGTTGATCTATCTTAGATCGGTTAGTGAATTCAATTATTGAGTAATTTACTGAATAAAATTCCCAAATAAAGATCAAGAATAGGATGCTTGATTTTCGATTTGTGGTTAAGAGTTTGATCCACAATTAGTATTTTAGGTCAGTGTATGAAATTTAGATACGAAACATGACTTACAGTTGAGAATATGATTTAAAGTAAGAAATGATCGTTAGAAATAGAATGAACACTGTCTTATAAGCTATATAAATGAATATTTATACAATTGGTTTCTTCTATTTTAAAAATTAGGAAACTTCAATCTACCGTTTAAAAAAATTCCATATTATCATTTACTAACCCTCATATACTTGAAGGAAAGTGGCTCGAAGTTAAATGAACGAAGCTGTTGCTTGGTGAATTCGCTAAAGCCCCGATATGGCCGAGGGAGGGAGGAGTTAGTTCTCCCTCTCGAAAAACTCAGAAATGGCCTCGCGTATACAGCCACTATCAGAGAAGTCCTACTGACTGCCTTCTCGCGGTGGGGTTGTTGTTTATGAAGTCGGGAGGGTGAAAAGCGAATATCTGACGCTTTAGTCGGGTTGGTGGATATGAAGGACTCACCTAGAGGGAGTTGCGAAGCTCTGATCCCAAACCAATGGTGAACATGGGCTCCAGGATTCTGAGGGGACAAATGGCTTATGAACCTACATAATCATTGTTGATGATAATCACATAGACCTTAACCAAGTAGTCTATACCCATCTAGATAGCTTAGTTCAACTGTCACCATCTTCGTGCGTGATATCATTTCTTGATTTGGTTACTTCTTACCTAATCATGGATTTCTGTTCATATGGTTCTCGAAATCTTCCTTCTTATGTTCTGTTTCTGTGAATTTTCAACAAACTTTAGTAAAATTGGATAATGACTGTCAGTTGGATGCAGAACGCACGTTTCATCTTACTTGTGATTTTTGAATTGAATGTACGTACATCCCAATGTTATTGTTTCCACTAAAACTCAAACCTAGTATCTGTTGTGTATCAACGAATTCGGCTGCTCTTATGGAAAACGCTGTAGCGGACATATAACTAAACAAGTTAGTGAATACCTTTCTTCGTGATCGGTGAAAAGCATAACAAAAATAATATTCAGCTCCGTTCTATCACATTTGGTCAATAGTGATTATGTAACAGATAGAACTAAACCATTCGAAGTAATGTATGTTTCTATTTATTTTGTTCTTGTATATATCAGAATCTATTGGGATCCTAGCTAACTACCCAAGCTCTTTATTCATAAGGAATTTATGACACTTTTATCCCTTCATTGGTCGAGTTAGGCTTAACAAACTAGTTCACTTATTATCATTATTATTATTATTATTATTATTATTATTATTATTATTATTTTCTGTACCGTTTGTTTTCACTCACTTTTTTAATTATTTGAACGCTACTTAAGGCATAGTTACAGTGATTTTATTAGATATCATTTTGATAAGTCTTGCGAATTGAACGCTATATTCGTTTCCTAAGCTATTCTGGAAACCCCCAAGCTAGAACTATACAGCGACCTGAACACAAGAGAGAAGACGCTAAGTATGCGAGAAAATACTTTACTCCAAGGTTCGTTTTTGTACAGAAAACACGGGTATTTATAGATGTTAACATTTGTTAAATCAACATATTTTAGCCAATCCGCTAAAAGGCATATTATGCTACTGGCCAATAGTAGCACGCCACGTTGATATTCTCGAAAGCTCCATCATGCTCTGACTGGCTAGGACTCTTCGGCTCCTCTAGGGCCTCTGGAGACTCTGTTGCAGTTCTCGGAAAGCCGACTCAACCCATTTCAATGTCTATTTTTCCAAAATCTTCGACCTACTTTCTATTATGAAACATTGATTTAAACCTTTATTATTCTTATCACAACTATTATACCTATTATCTCACTATTAAGGTTTATACTTTTTGCCTATTATACAGTCTATTGTATTGTGATCATTGACTCGTAAACTACCTTGGTTATTTTAATATTTTCATATACCTGTATAAACTTTACCAACCACTAAGTCGGTATCCAACGCTGTTAATGTCTAACTTCAGTCGATCCATGATCGTACTAAACCCTTTATTCATTGTCTGAGGTAGATAACTGTCTCCACCCGACACAAATTGGACTCCAATGGCCACAGCCTCTCACTAAATATGTGGAAATTTTAAGTTGATTGGATGCGTTCAAAAAAAACCATAAGTCCTAACTTTGTATGCTGCGAAACGGGTAAAAACATTATAATGTCTAATCGAGATTTGAATGAAATACACTTTGTTTTTATGTCACATATTCGACGAATGTAATCTATTAAATAGTCGATATCCTTTCCTCGATAATTGTTCTCTAATCAGTAGTTATTAAGGGACCAATTAATGTACAAATACCTTTGTCCTACAGAAAATTAATCGTTAAACGAACAGCTTGGTTGTAATTTCTATGACTGCATCACAAATGAGTAGACGTGGAGGAAATAGCTGGGTTCAGTCCGATACCCGTCAGTACATCAGATCTGTCAAGACTGCAGATTCGCATGTGTGAAAAAAACCTACTAACATAAATCTAAACAGATAAGTTCTTACCCATTGCGTCCGACCATCTAATGTCAAACTTGACTCAGACACATATAGTCGTTCCTCAGTTAGCTCATTAACATCGTCACAAGTTCAGCATAACTGGTAGAAGGTACACCATTTACTTTCAGGTGAATCCTAATAAACTATGAACCGTAACTTACAAGTCATAGCTACTAAATATTACAAAAACATTCACTCGCTAAGTTCAGTTTGCCAAAATCGAATATTTTGTTCAATCATTAGTCAATATTTTCATACTCAAAACTGTTAAATTTTTAGCTCAATAAATTTGTAGGAGTTATTCAATGTATAGTTTACATCACGGAATGGCTTCATCTAGTCAGTTATTAAAAACCATGGGACCATCTTGTCCTGATGTGAAATTCCTCAGCAGAAGACATGAATGACCTCACCATCGACTAGTAATCAAAACTTCCAGGTTCTATTGAAGAGTATGACCTTTAAACCATAAATATAAGAAAATAGTGGCTGGCAGTGGGTTCCCGGATGGGAGTTTCATCTTATTCTGGACTCATTAGCTGGATATACCTGAATCTTAGAGTTGATGTTCACTGTTGGACTTGAACCCAGTACCGTTCGCTTCAAACTCCACCGCGTCATCCACTTAGTTACTGAATCCATCTTTGCTTATAATGCTTGTGAATTAAGGAAATATGCACATACAACAATAAGAGACTGATCAATTGCAGTACTTACTTACATACTTACGCCAGTTACTCCTAATGGAGCATAGGCCGCCGACCAGCATTCTCCAACCCACTCCGTCCTCCGCCTTCTTTTCTAGTTCCATCCAACTCTTGTTCATTTCTCTCATGTCTATCTCCATTTCCCGGCGTAATGTGTTCTTTGGTCTTCCTCTTTTCCTTTGGCCTTGAAGATTCCATGTGAGGGCTTGTCTTGTGACGCAGTTGGATGCTTTCCTCAATGTGTGTTATATCCACTTCCAGCGCTTCTTCCTAATTTCTTCCTCCGCTGGGATCTGGTTTGTTCTCTCCCACAGTACGTTGTTGCTAATAGTGTCCGGATCCGAAGTATTTTGCGTAGACAACTGTTAATAAACACCTGTATTTTCTGAATGATTGCTTTCGTAGTTCTCCAGGTTTCTGCCCCATATAGTAGAACTGTCTTGACATTTGTATTGAAAATCTTGACCTTGGTGTTGGTTGACAGTTGCTTTGAGTTCCAGATGTTCTTCAGTTGTAAATACACTGCTCTTTCTTTACCGATCCGCGCTTTCACATCTGCATAAGATCCACCGTGTTCATCAATGATGCTGCCCAAATATGTAAAGGTTTTTAAATCTTCCAAATCTTCTCTGTCAATTGTGACTGGATTGGTGCATTCTGTGTTGTATCGGAGAATCTTGCTTTTTCCTTTGTGTATATTGAAACCTACTGCTGCTGAGGCTGTTGCTACACTGGTCGTCTTCTCCTGCATTTGTTGTTGCGTTTGGGATAGAAGGGCCAGATCATCTGAGAAGTCTAGATGGTCCAACTGCATCCTAGATGTCCATTATATCCCGTGCTTCCCTTCAAATGTTGACGTCTTCATGATCCAGTCCATCACGAGGAGAAAGAGAAAGGGTGAGAGTAAGCAACCTTGATCAATTGCAGTCCTAAACATCAATGGGAAGATTCAAGTAAACAATACTAAGTGAATTTAAATTGA